CAAAGAAAATTACACTTACTTAGATTTAGTATTTTTTTTAATAATGCCTTTTCCATGCTGTCCCCTGTGAATGAAATGACCCTCTAATCCAGGGGTGGGCAAACTTGCTGTGTTAAAGCAACCATGAGACAAGGTTTATTTGTAACATCCACAGGAAGGAATTCCAAGAAGACGAGAGATCAGCATCTTCAAAGACCCATTGTTTTTCCACGCTAGTTGCATTCTGTCTGGTGGGCATTTCTGGGGTGCAACCACAGTTGTAATTGTTACATAGTCAAAATTCCTAACTTCAGATACAGAAGTGATACATGTATACAAATAGGATAATCATATTCAGTAAAACATAACCTTTCCAATGTTACCTTACATGACCCATCTTGCATAAAGCATCTTAGTTATGCCATATGCATATCATAGCTATATTTCTATGAAGAATATGGGGTGTTGCATCACAACGGGAACTCTGGGGTGCAGACTGGGACTGTGGGACCGCTGTGCCCCCTTAACTCTCCAGTCTGGGCTGTCTCTCACAATGCTTTGCTAGTGACAAGTAGCAAACCCCTCCAGGCACTGTTATCACTCAGTACAACTGCATGTGGAGCCCACCCCACACCCAGCTAGATTGCATGAGCCACTCATGAATCGCACTGAGGAAGGCACCAGCTGAATCCCCCCAGCTCCCAGCCTGGCACCTCAGGAATATACCATCTTGCACTGCTCAAGATGAGCAGTGCAAGTTTATTAATTGGTTCACCACTTCATCATTGGAAAGGTAAACCTTTGTAAACCTGAGCAGATTAACCAAACACGTCAGGCAAACTCACTGGTAAAGATAAACAGTAAAACAAGTTTATTGACTACAAAAAGATAGATTTTAAGTGATTATAAGCAATAGGCGAAAAGTCAGATTGGTTACCAAAAGAAAAGAAAACATAAGCACGCAGTCTAAACTCTCAACCCTGTTAGACCGGGCAACCTCTAGACTAAGCAGTTTTTCTCACTCCACTGGATATTGCAGTTCATAGTACACAGGTTTCACCCTTGAAACTCTGGCCAGTCTCCTCTGTTGGAGTTTTCAGTCTTCTGAGCGTCCTTGTTGCTTGCAGCATAGGTGGGGGCAGGAGAAAAGGCCAAGCATGGGGCCCCTGTGTTCTGTTTTATACCCTTAGTCCCATGTGCTTGGAGAACACACGTCCAGGCATGTCTGGTGGCATTGCTGAGTCATAGGGTGAAGCAATACCCCTGTGTGTCTCCTGTGAGTGAGTCTCCTCTGCTGTACAATGGCTGGATATGTCTGTTCAGCACCCACCTGGGCGTTGGTTACCTCTTCCCTTGTCACTGTCTCTGTAGGGCTAGTATCTGGGTGAGTCCCAAACCCACAGCATATTGTAGTGAAAACCATACAACACCATTCTTATAATTTTATATGCATTAATGATACACCCATTTAGATGGAGCAGTGGCTTTCAGCACATCATAACCTTTCCCATGATACCTCACATGGCATGCTTTATATGCAATATTGCAATTATATGTAAATGAGGAATATGGGGGCTACAGAGCACTCCCCCAAGGTATAGAATGTCACACCCTCATTCAAATACTACCTGAAAATTCACCACTTCTTGTGAATTCTTAATAACAATTGTAAATACGTATTAGCTAGAGCTAATATACATATCCCCTCTTCTGGATTTCCCAGAGTCTTTTGCTTTCTATAAGCCTTTTAGATAAGTGCTCCTGAGCATCATTCTGTCTTGACTGGCGCCACGCCTCCTGTCAGCACTGAATAAACAACAACTTGGCATTTACAGTACATAGCACCTTTCACCCAAAGGTCTCAAAGCATGTTACAGACAGTTGCTGAGTCTAATTAATTGTAAGGGCAGGAAGTAAGGTAGTCCCCATTTTACAGCTGAGTACATTGAACCAGAAAGGGTGTCATGTACTCCTTGTACACAGTAGGTTGCAGGGACACTACTAGCAGATCAGGCTTCTGTACCAGCTTTGAACTATCTACAGAGCTTCCATCATGGAGAAAGATATGATACTTTAATGCACTGCCAGGTATGGCAGTTACCAGCTCAGATAAGGCATGTTACACATTGCACCACCTAGTGACTGAACATTATAATATGGTTTTTGCATTCTCTCATGCGGAGGGTGGGGGGGGTTAAAACTTGCCCAAGTTCATACAACAAGTTAGTGGCAGAGCTTGTCATGGACCCCATATCTCCTGATTTCCCACCAGAATGCAGTGAAATTAAAATAACTTTACTAGTTTTATCTGATGAAATTTTGAAGAGTAGAATGAAATCCAAGTATAAAGCAAAACTCTACACCAAAAGCAGTTAGTGTAACTGTTGGCACCATGTTTTAATAGTGGAACTTTTAAAACAAGTCAAGGGGCTAGATCCTCAGCTGGTTTAAACCAGGTGACGATCTGGTCCAAGGTCTAAAATGGCTTACATATAGATATGTCTTTTGAAATTGACTGGGCTCCAAAGGTGTAATGTTGTTTTTTGTTAATGGTTAAAGTGATTAATATGAAATAATTCCTCTTTCTGATAAAATACCCTGTTGTCTATAAAGGTCTTTCCAGGGAGTAAATGACTGGCTGACTTCAAGGGAGACGGTGCTGCTGACTGTGCTTTCAAATGCACAAAGTAAACACACTCAAAAGTACAGAAAAAAGTTTTCCTTCTCTAATTTATTTCAGTTGTCGTAACTGCCATAGTACATGTGTTTTTTCTAGTTGCAACTATTACCATTTAAGGTAATGTTCACTGAAGTCACACAGATTGGTTCAGCTTCAGAACAGTTTCCTTTAATTTTTAAAAAAAAAAATTGGCTTAGCCCAACTTTTTAAAATTCCGCGTGAGAGAGCTTTACTTGTACTCTATATACAGGTATTTAGAGAAATGACACATTTATTTTCACATGTTGAAGATTTTTGTTATATAAGTGAATACCATCCAGTGCAACTCACAATTATTTTATACAATGTTCTCAATTGGGGGTCTATTAATTAACATGTGCCATTGAGCTGAAATGGAATACTCCAGTGTATCGTGCTAGAACTTGTGGCTCCGCATTGGCAGTGTTAACAATATTACAAAGCCTTTACAATGTTAAGGAAGGTTCAAATCTAGGACAATATTCTGGCATTTTCCCAGATCCTCGGAGTCCTGAAGCCCCACTAATCCCTCTTGCTTGATTCATTGCCTTTTTACTAATTCCCTTATGAAATCATAGAACTAAGCCAAGAGTACTGAGTGATTCACAATTAATTCCTCTGGCATGGGGGAATCCCTAGCGGGCATAGGGATGCTTCTGGCAGGAGCGGGGGCCGTGGCCAGAGAAGCAGCACTTGGCAATCTCTAGGCAGCATATTGGCCCCTAAGGGGCTGCTACAAGCCAAAGGGATTTAGACCAGCCCTGATGCTGCCCCAGGGATCATTTGGAGTGAGGGACAGAGTGGAAACAAAAATAGCTTAAAGTAAACTTTGCCACCTCTTTCATCCCTGCTCATGTGAAGCAGATCTCTGATGCAGCTGAGGGTCTGGCCCTTTCAGATTAACTGCTTTGGTCAAGTGTTTGGACACCAGTTGAAAAATACAGAGCCCTAAAAATGTCACCAACCCCTGCATAAAGATGCTGCACAACTTCAAAGCAAATCCTTTCATTTGACCAGGGCCTACAAAGACAATCCCTTGCTTGTACTCTCTAATGACAGAGATTTTAGTCCACAAGAGTGAACTGGAAATAGTAGGCTGCCATTGGTAAATGCAGTGTCTATGGCATTCAGGCTGTCTAAGAACACGCTGTAATTGGAAGCAAAATTATCTGTTAACAAAAATTGTGCAGCTAAACAATATTGACTGACAAGTGCCTGAAGTTAGGGTTCTTTATCCAAATTTCTACACCTAAATAAGTGGCCTGATTTGTAGAAATAAATGGCCTGAGCGCCCACAAATCCCTGTGCAATCCATGGGAGCTGCAGGTGCTTGGCATCTCTGCAAATGAGGCAACAATTTAGATGCCTAAATATAGAGCCGCAAACCTAATAATAGGACTCAAGTTCTAAAACTTCCAGCAGAGTGCACGGGTATCCCACCAACCCCCCCAAAAAATGATTGTTTACAAAATAAGAGGGTGGTATATACCTTTATATTTCATTGTATTTTCTCATTTGGTTCACTGGGCCCTCACTCTACCCCCACTGTTGTGTAATGTCATTATCTGGTGCTGTGGCTAAACATGAACTAAAATGACTGACCTGCTTATTTGGTTCCTAAAGAAAACACCTTCCCCACAGATATGGAATCACTGCTCCATCTCAGTAGTACCTTGTCTCATAACTTACATTCCCTTTGAATGATCTGCTATAACAGACCCTGTGTTAGAAATGGGTAGCAAACACAGTATAAGAATTTCTGGAGTCCATTGCCTGGATCCTGCTCTGTTCTGCTCTTGGTTTATGTGCGTTCCCTGGCAGGCAGAAGAATCCAAGAATTAAAGCTGCTGGAGATGCAGGTTTATTTTGGGTTTTCTGTTCGATTTTCTTTTCTTTTAACCTCTTAAATTTGGCGCCACTGGAAGCAGTACATCAGAATGTTCTGTGTCACTGTTCTGGGCTCGTCCCTGGCTAACATGTAAGTGGACTGATGCTTTCAAGCAGCACTCCCAGACTGACAAATTCATACTGCTTCACCTTGGGTAACTACTTTTAATCTTGTGCCTAGCAATACAAACAAATCTCTGCCTTCCTCACAGGAAGCAATAGCATTTTAAATGCATGTAAACGTGCTGTCCAAGCCCGAGAATGTTGTTTTGAACTAATAATATTCCATTCTCAGGCTAATTTCATTCCCTGCACTTCTTTGACATGCACTTACCCAATTAGCAGAATGTTACTGTTTACTGCTAATTTGAATTAATACTTCAATAGTTGGCTACTTCTATTTTTAGATAATGTTCTTTGAATTTTATTTCAACAGAGGTCTCAGTCTGCATTCTCACTGACTAGTGAAGATACACCAAGCAAAGATCTGGACCTGGTGTCTTCTATGCCTGAGATTCTCTGGAGGCAGCAGAAAGGCCTAGTCAGGAGACAGAGGGAACACAAACTGTCTGCGTTACCTAGCTGGAAAAGTGTGGACAGACTGAATGAAACAAGTAAATATTTATAGTACCAGTATCACACTTTCTTCTGTTTTTCCTGTTGAACAAATTAAACTTGAAGTAAGCACCCAGTCCTGCTCCTATTGAAGTCAGTGGCAAAGCTCCCATTGACTTCACTGAGAGCTGGGTCAAGCACTAAATGGAAAAAGAAAAAGCCTGCACTAACTTTGTGATGCCTAGTATGACGACAATAATCAAACAATGACACTAATTATGATACTACTAGTTTTCCCTGAATAAGGACTTCAGAATTTGGCCCTTGGTGCATAAAATGACAATAAAGTAATAGTAAACAGTGAGCTAATGAAATATTCATTGCTGTGCTAACTTCTGCTCCAAGTAACCTCTTGTCATTCATATAGAAAGTGTTATTCTTTTGGGTAAGATTCCTGTCCAAGGCCTGGATTCAGCAAAGCATTTAAGCCTGTGCTTAAATTTAAGCACCCATTTAAGTCCCACTGAAGTCAATGACACAGTCATTTAGTACTTAGCAATTACTTAACCATAGCTTAGTGACAAGTTGATACAATTACTTTCTAAGGGTCCCTTGCTCAGAGTAGTTCCTGTTTGTCGTCTGAGTTCACTGTTGAGATAACACACTGGTGTCCTGTAGAGGCTATTTGATATTTAATAGGTATCGCATTGACTTATGAGTAAACCCACCTGCCCTGGTTTGCAGCTTTTGGTTAAAACACACAAAGTCCAAGAGGATCTCAACCAGTAGCTTAGTGTAGTAGTAGTAGTAAACACCAGCAGTCTGATTCCCCACTGCCATGCACCTCGATTAGTTAGTTATACCTGTGAAAAGTGGGTGTAAATCTCAACCCCTCTAAGGGCTTGTCTACACAGGCACTTTACAGCGCTGCAACTTTCTCACTCAGGGGTGTGAAAAAACACCCCCTAGAGTTCAGCAAGTTTCAGCGCCGGTGTAAACAGTGCCCCAGTGTTGGGAGCCGCGCCCCTCGTGGAGGTGGGTTTTTTAGAGTGCTGGGAGACTAGCCCTAAATTAGTGGTGTTTATATCTACTTTGCAATGACATTGTATAGCTGTAAATGACTGCACAAGGGCCAGGTGGCACAGAAACAAGCTCTGAATTTTCATTTACAAATGACCGGTTCCACACTGAGCTCATTTCTCTGGCCATTCTTATTTTTCCATAAATAATTCATAATGTAAGGCACCGGCGATGCCACAATTTGTGCCTCCTGTCTTTTGTTACGACAGGCAAGTGCCTTTTGATTTATATCAAACAGGTTTCTAATAAACAGCCTTTGACGTCATTAGCAGGAGGGTTAAAGTCAATGTTGCTTTTTGTAGGTAACTTCTCTGTATGTTGTTGCCTTCCCCCTGCTAATCAGCTAACTTACTTCACTTTTCTAATCAACTAAAATAAATTTTAACAAATTCAGCTATGCCACAGGCAGGCAGCAGCTACTCAGAACAAATGAGCATGAACTTTGTATGTGTTTTGGGACAATGGGCAGAAGCACAACTAGATTGAATTTAACTAGTTAAGCATTGCATGTTGGGGTTCCCCCGAGACACGTTCAGTCCTTGAAGAACTCGGTTCAACACCAGTCTTGTCACTCAGGTTCCTTTATTTGGCAGACATCAAAGCTGTATTGAGTTGATCAGACTCAAGCATAGGGGTGGATATAGGACATACCTCACATTCAAAGTTACCCAACAGACCTCTTCCTTTATATGCATTCACACAATATATTGCATTTACTATTCATTGCATCACATGTTTTGGGATTGGCTTGGTCACTTGGTAGAAACCAATCCCTGTATAGCGCACAGTCACTGAACAACTTACTCGTTACCTCATTTTACTTTCCAGGCTTATCCATTGTTACCTTGTCCTTTGTAAATGGTTGGCTGGTGTTCCCCCTTATCTTAGGTAGTACAGACATTCTGTTCCTAGCCTACTGATCCATTTACCTTCCTAATCCTGTCTCCCAAGAAATGAGGCCTTCCCCGTGTCCAATCACTCATGTCAAGCCAGGACTACATTCCACTGCTTTTATTTTGTCTTTTTTATATTAGCATTTGTTTTATTTGCATTATAGTTTTTATTTTCTGTTTCTTTTTTTAAGTTTATTACCCAGCAACACGCTTTTAAGACCATAGTAGTTGTAATTATTTGAATTACTATTAACGCTAGGCTTAAAGTACAAAGCAGGGCATAGAATCTTACCTCCTATGGTTTAGCCCACTAGGGTATGATTTTACATTGTAAGCTTAGTTTGTCTTTAAAGCATATTTTTGTTATTTTAAATTTTGCTTTTATTTTAATTACATTATAAAAAATTGGTACAAAATACAAACAAAATATTTATTACCACAGGAAATATACTTGTCAAACAGAACAGAGGCTAATTAAAATAACATTCTCTGGTCCATACCAGAAGTGGTTCTTTTTAGCCACCACACAATACTTGTTATCAGCATAGACAGTTTTTACTTTACCAACACCCCAGTGTCTCAACCGTACTGTGCAATTTGGAGATTGTTCCCTCAGAGTGAACCCACATACCGGCAACTCTGTCTGTAAGACGTCACACCTGCATGTGTAAGTATTCCCCGGGGCAAACAGTAGTACAAGTCTGGGGCCTTCCAGACCTTACATTGTCTTGCTACAGTATTTGAGGAGGGAAAACAAACTTCTTCCACACCATATGGCTTGCATTTGTTTCACATTTAACTTTATAGTATTGGATCTTTGTTAATTTTCTTACCCTGCACCAACTGGTGTCACCCCTTTTGTTACAAATTTTTAATTTTTCTGTGGCATAAAAGAAGGCAAATGTTCTTGGTTCATATTAAGCCAGGTCTAAACTCAATAGCCAAGCCTGTCAACAGATTTTGATCTTCAAAAATTGTTTGCAAGAGGCAGAATTACTTCCTGAGGCACTTACTCAATTTCTTTGAATTAACATAAAATTTGGGCATGAAAACAGACCAAAGAGATTTAAATAAACTAATAATTAAAAATAAAAAGCCTGACAGATCTTTTCAGTTTAATTACCATTTTGTTGGTGGAGTGTTCTGGGGTTTTTGTTTTGATTTTGTTTTTGTTTGTAGTTTTGTTTATGCTCCAGGGAAAAATTGTTCCAAAACTCAAAGCCTGGCTACTATATGTCATATTTATTCCATAAGTATGTTCTGTGTTGGGAAAATAAGAGTGCCAAATAAAAGTTGTGATCTTGAGTTCCATATATTTACAGACCTAAATTGAGGGGAGAAAAATACATAAAGATACATAAAAATATTGATATTTTAAGTTTAACAGTTCATGTAAAAATAGAGCTTAAAACTTTAGAACAGTAATGCTCTGCCTGTAGTTTGTATTTCTGGCCTTCTCATGGTTAATCTGAACAGTCAGTTGTGCGTCTGAAAGAAATCTGTATGTCAGATATCATTTGATTCAGTATGCTAAGAAGAGTATGCAAATCCACAATACTGTTTAGTTCTACAGTCATTATGAGAAATATGAATAATAAACCCATCAGATGTTCAAACTTCCCATTAAAAGAATTTCATGTCCTGTTGACAATGGAGTCTATATTTAGAAGCAATGTAAGCTTCACAGTTTGAGTAGATAGTATTTCTTGCATATTTTTCTTTTCTGAATTTTAGAACGTTAGGCTTCTAACAGGCTGTATAGCCTAACCTTGGACCCTATTGTCACATATATTTTAAAAAGAGGTCCCCAGAGAATTCTTTGGTGACTTCCGATTAAAATGGGATAATCAGGAAGATCCCTGATTCAGGGTATGATAAAATCTATGTAGCGTACCACATATTCATTTGTGTCTGTCGTTATCTTGTGCTGGTCCCATCATAAAGGGTAAGTCTACACAACAGAAGCTGTGCACAGACTAGCCTACTCAAGCTTGCTTGAATCCAGTTAGTGTGGGTAGCAATAGTAATAAAGACAGCCTGGTGCGTGCTTCAGCATGGGTAGACAACCCTGGCAAGGAGCCTGGGTACGTACTCCGCTCACTAGCCCATGCAGCTAGCCCACAGATACCCCAAATGGCTAGTCTCTGCTAAAATCTTTATTTGACTGTGCAAAAGTCAGCCAGTCAAACTGAAATAATAAAGTAATAATTAGGGGATTTGTTCTTGTTTTAATTTCACAGGTCCACCCCCTGTTTTACAAAGCACTGATGGGAACTGGGTGGCTTTGCAGAGCATTACATTGCCTCGCCCTCGAATGCTTGCCAAACCAAAGAGCCAAGTATTCAAAGCTTTGGAGAACGAATCTAGTGTTGTGTCTGCTTATGACGAGATGGGCTCGGATAGCGAGGACGACTATGACTGGAATGTGGCCTTGAACAAGCTGCGTCGAAGGCCCAAGCAGTTGTCCGAGGATTCTTATTATACCGATTCCCAGTACAATACTGAATGGGCTTATGGCAGTGATCCATACCAGCCAGTGACCTCTCCTTCATCTGGGCTATACACCAATACAGAGACGGTGTACTCTGATTCTGAAACATCTTCAGTAAATTCCTCAAGGGAGGCTAGAGAATCTAGCAAGCTTCCCTGGCTACAAAGGAGAACTCAGAGTGACAAACCCAGAGTGGAAAAAGCACATTTACATGGAGAACTGGATGTAAATTTCAATCCACAGGCTGACAGTTTAGAGTATTCAGATAGCAGTGAGACTGAGGAAGTCTATTATGATTTAGAAAAGAGGTCTAGAAGGTGGAGAAAGAGCAAAATTGTCTCCGAAGAATTACGTGAAGGAAAAAATCACACAAAAACCCACAAGAAGAATTTGAGCATAAATCAGGTAACTACATTTGCTTATATAGGAAGGATTGAGTAAGCAAAAGTGGGTGGGGAGGGTGGAGAGGGAGTGGCACACTGTCAAAAATGTCATTACCTGTTTCTGAGTCCCTGGTAGCTCAGAAGATGATCTCGAATGTCCTAAGAAGTAAAGCACAAGGTGGGGTCTTGTATGTATCTGCTACAGACGACCAAATCACACTAGAGAACAGGATGACCAGCTCCGTAAGTACCTATCTATAATCTGTAGGGAAAAAATCGATGTGGTCATGGGGGACTTCAGTTTGAGGGACATATGCTGGAGGTCTCATGCTGACAGTACTAAAACATCCTTAGAATTTCAAAATATCATAGATGACAACTTCCTGATTCAACTTGACTCAAGTGTTGCAACCATCACAGGGTAATTCTATATTAGGACCTCATCTTGACAAATAAAGAACTGATCACAGAACTAAAAATTAATGGTAGTTTAGGTACAAGTGATCATGACTTAATCCATGTATAATATGCAAACAGACTAAAGTCCAAACCAGCAATATGTATGCTTGGTGCTTTAAAAGGGCCAATTTCACAAAGCTGAAAATAGTTGAGAGTCAAATTAGCTGGGAGGAAGAATTTAATCAGAAAAATATGAATTATAATTGGTAATTGTTTAAGAACATTTTAGTAGATGCCCAAACATTCACAATTGAGGAAGAATACCATATTGGTTTAAAAACTGATCTCACTTAGAGGGGAAGCGAAGGCAACTATAAAAAAATAAAATACAATTTAACAAATGGAAGAAAGGGGAAGTTGATAGCGATGAATATAAATAAGAAGCTAGCAATTGTAGAAAATCGACAAGACAAGCAAAGGGACACAAGGAGAAATTGTGGAGATAAGGACAATACAAAGGAGTTTTTTAAGTATATTGGAACAAAAAGAATCCTGACAATGGTATTGGTTCATTACTAGATGGAAATGGTACAATTATCAGTGATAATGCAGAAAAGGCAGAAGTGTTCAATAAATGTTACTGTTCTGTATTTGGGGGAAAACAGATGATGCAGTCTCATCATATGACAACGATAACACTTTTTCCATTCCACTAATATCTCAGGAGGATGTTAAACAGTATCTACTAAAGTTACATGTCGTTAAATCAGCAGGTCTGGATAACTTGCATCCAATAGCTTTAAAAGAGCTGGCTGAGGAGGTCAGTGGACAGTTACTGTTGATTTTCAATAAGTCTTAGAACAGCAGGGAAGTTTCAGCAGACTTGAAGAAAGCTAATGTGGGGTCAATATTTAAAAAGGGTAAATGGGACAACCCAGGTAATTATAGGCCTGTGTACATGATATCAGTCCTGGGCAAAATAATGGAGTGGCTGATATGGGACTCAGTTAATAAAGAATTAATGCCAGTCAACATTAGTTTATGGAAAATATATCCTGTCAAACTAACCTGATATATTTTTACGACATAAGTTTGGTTGATAAAGATAATAGTGTTGATGTAATATACTTAAACTTCTGAAAAGCATTTGGCTTAGTACTACATAACTTTTCAATTAAAAATTAAAACAATATATAGTTAACATGGCAAACACTAAATGGATTAAAAGCTGGCTACCTGATAGGTCTCAAAATGTAATTGTAATGGGGAATCATCACTTAGTGGGTGTGTTTCTAACGGGGTCATGCAAGCAGCACTTTAAGCCGCAGCGGTGTACGACTCCTGTCTGGGATCATGCTAGCTGCTTGCACACACTAGCGTGACTAGGGACAGCTGCCAGTGAGCCTGGTGTCCACCCCAGTAGGCAGGGTTTGGGGGTGGCACAGCCAGGCTGGAGAAGCTGCCAGGGCTGGGCTCTGGCTCCTGTGAGTGGCGGCCCGACATGCTGCTGCTTTTGCTGCTGTGGTTCTTGGTCCTGTCGCTGGCCATGGCCCTGCTGGCTTCAGCCCCATTATTCATGAGGGACCAGGTGGTTCCCCTGCATCCTGTCAGAGGTATTTATGAGAAATTAACTTACAGATTCCCTGGTTAGGTCATCTTCTAAAGTAGCAGGATGGTGTGACTGAACCAACGAAGTGAACCATTTCAAGGAGGTGGAATAATCACACCCTTGAGTGATATAAGTTTTGCTGACATAGGCTGAGGTGTAGACATAGCCTACGCTCAGAGTTCAGTGTCTCAAGAGGTTTACAATATTAGTTAACTACTGAAGTATGCCTTGCAGACATGTTCTGCATCTACTCTGTTCCTTTGCACGATTGACAGACATAGGCATTCTATACCGGGACATTATAGCTAAGGGTAAGATTTTGTCACGGTTATTTTTAGTAAAAGTCACGGACAGGTCACAGGCTTCTGTGAATTTTTGTTTATTGTCCGTGACTTTTACTAAAAATAATTGTGACAAAATGAGGAGTGGGGGGTCCAGCACCCACCGCTGCTGCCGCTCACAGTGGTTGGGAGCTGCGGGGTCCCCACAACGCCCAGGGCAGCTGGGAGCTGCATGGAGGCTTGGAGCTATAGGGCTGGAGGCTGGGAGCTGTGGGGGACCACCCACAGCATCTGGGAGCTAAGAGCCACAGCATCCCCCGCTGCCCACCACGTCTCGGAGCTGCAGAGGTCCCCTCCACGTCTCGGAGCTCTGGGGCTGGCAGCTGGGAGCTGTGGGGGACCCCTGCCTGTGGCATCTCAGAGCTCTTGGATCCCCACCAGCTGACAGCTCCAACCGGGTGAAGCAGCAAATGTCATGAAGGTCTCTGGAAGTCATGGATTCTGTGACCTCCGTGACATAGTCATAGCCTTAAGTATAGCCATGCCCTATTAATTTAACCTGAATTATATCACGCTGAATTTATCAAGGGTCATGGTGGATTCTCCATCATTTGAAATTTTAAAATCAAGATTGGATGTTTTTCTAAAAGATCTGCTGTAGGAATAATTTGGGGGAAGTTCTCTGGCCCCTGATAGACTAGATTATCACAGTGGCCCCTTCTGGCCTTTGACTCTATGAATGTTATCTTCTTCCGCTATTGTGTTACATGTGAGTGTGTGTGTGTGTGTTTTAAGGGCCTGTACGTAAGTGTCAATGGAATCTTTAAAGTCACTGAGCACTGCTGACCGTTCTTGGAGACATTTTGCCTGCAAACACAGACAGGCAGAATACCTCCGCGGACCCTGGGCTCCACTCTTTAATAGGGTGCAACGTGTGCTTCAGATTTCTAGCCAATGCAGAAAATCACTGTCCCTTCCTTGTCCCTGTACCAGTGCTGCTCACAAAGCACAAAATGTGGGATTCTAGTTGGTCCTCTACACAGGAGTGCATGGCTAGGAAGGGCTTGCAGTGCCTCCCCACCCCCAACACACCAATGCTGGCAGATGCAGGATCTGGCCCCAAATCGCACTGGTGTAGTAAAATTGGTTTGCAACACAAATGGGGGAGACAAACAAAATGTAGAGGAAGTGAGTGAAGAAATGCAAAATAATTTGCATATGTTCGGCTTATTTCTGGTAAATGTGGTTCATGCTTTCAGAAAAGAGTTACTCAAATCCCTGGCACTAGAGAGCGTCCGATTAAGTGTATCATGGCGAGTGTAATTATAATGAAACATTTATATGGAGGACGTTGCTGGGATTGAACAAGTCTAGTGGAGGGCAATGAAAATTATTCAGGGGATTTGGGATATGAGTTACAGAATGAAGAAAAATGAGCCAGATTTAGTCTATATTGTTTAAAAAATGAGATTAGAGGAATTTCAGAAATCTGTAAATCCTAAAAGTGATGCACTGATACCAATGAAATGATTGAGTCTGAAGCTGAGGAGCAGTCTAACATAAACACTTCAGATGAAGTGTCGTACAAATGATTAGGATGTACAACAAACTGCAGAGAGCATAATTTGAAGGAAATAGGGGTCTACAGCTTCTAGCTTTGTTTTGAGGGTTTAAAATCTGTAATAGGTTTTCATATGCTGGTATTATAAAGAGAAGTCTTATTGAAGCAATAGATAGTGCTCTCCTACTAAAAGTAGCTGTGTCTGGAAATCAGAAACTCAGCAGCTGATCGTATGTAGATTACAATGAGGAAATGCTACTTTTTCCTGTCCTTTCATGGTATAATAATAGATATTGATTTATTGACCATTATTATCTGCATCATGGAATAGGATTTGATTCTCAGTTCAAAAAATCAGTTTTCTTTTCTCATTGTAAAATATCATAAGGTCAGCATCCACCTTGCTATCCCATCAGTTACACTGAAAAGAAAAATGGACCTTCTCTGTTCTTAGGAGCCACACAATTTTGAATTTATGAAGCAGTAATGTTGTGAGCAGAGGCATGATGGAACAACTGCAGTCATTTCATAGTTAAGGTTGCAACTGAGTTGAGTTCCCATTACAAGATTGATTCTTCTCTCCACATTGGTACTCTAAAATCCATTTTAAAATCCTGTATCAGCTTTCAAATTAGTAAGCTACTTCTTTGACCAAGGCAGAATTTGTGTTATAAAATCAGAACTGAATTAATTGAGGAGCTTCTCTGGAAACCAGACCCTAAAAGTAGGGGTGTTCACCACAGTTCAAAAAGTCTTCTCACTTTTAATTTTTTTGCCACTTCATGGGAGGAAAAAACAAAATCAGTACCTGCTTTGCTAGTCTCTCCCAGCTGTGCACAAAGCTTATGTGCACAAATCATGAAACTCGTGCACTTGCATGCAAAAAACCAAAAGTTTGTGCATGACAAATCATCATACTTGGTATTAGAAATTAGTATGAAACAAATGATGAAATCTATGTTCTGTTGACCACGTTTCCAATAGCCTAACTGCAGAGGAAGTAATATGGTAGGCTCGTATCTCTACAGAGCAGACTTAAGATAATTTGGCTGTCTTGGTTGGGAAGTACAACCTTATCTCTGTTTTCTAATTATATTTTTTAACTAATAGTCTTGAAAAATTGTATGCACTCAAACCACTTATATGAATCTTCAACCTTAACTTCCCTTTATATTTTTAGGGGAATTATAATGGGGTTTAATGCCATTGGGATCCTTGTATGATTGCTTTAGATTAATTGAACTTAATTTCATTATGAAGTCACCTATGACTCTTATAAAATGGCATTTTCCATTAATTAAAATCTTGTCATATAGTTCTATGCTATCTTGACAAAGCTATAAACGAAAGCAGGATACAGTGTGTGCTCTTGAATTTCAAGCCCCACTAGATGGTGCTTGTGATTCATTTAGTGGAAATATGGAACTTCTAAGGGCAAAAAAAACATTGAAAAGTAACCTGTAAACTTAACATTTTATGCAATGTCTCTGTAAAGATAATAGGACCTTGTTTTCCATGTGATCTTCCTTGCAGTGACTGATTATAGCAACACCCATTTTTTGTGGTATTTTTCTTAATTGGTTACCGTATAATGTTGTGGGTTTACGTCTGCTATTTAAAAATTGAGAGGATTGAATTTGAATGTTTTTAGTTTTGTTTTAGCACCACTGAGCTGTTCGCTTTTTTCTTTTTTGTGCGTATTTTGTTTTGATTACTGACTTGATGATGATTTTACATGCAGTTATTTGCAGAATGTCTAGTAGGAAAGGTACACTTCAGTTTCTTAAACGATGTATAGTTTAGAACTGTGGGCCAAGTCCTATTCTCAGTTACACAAGTGCAACAAAGCAAAATGTGGCCCTGAGAACTTGGCTCTGCAATAGGTATATCTGTTGCTGATACATGCCAGTGTGAATTTATACATTGACTTTAAAGATGGGACATTAGATGGTATAAAAGGAGGGTAGATTATGTGAACTGTAAACTACCACCGCATAACTCTGAAGAAAACTTTTCACACAAGAGAAAAAAGTACATTTTTGGTTTGTTAAAGTTGACAAGGCCCTCAAAGTGACCTGCCCTAAAAAATACAGTTGGTTTAAAAACAAAAATAAGAAAAATGCATCATGTCGTCACAAAACTTTCGCTGTAACTGTGTTAAAAGCTCAGTGTTTCAGCCAAGAAGCCTACAAACAACACAATGACCACAGTGTACAGCATTGGACTATAATTCTCCTTGCATTGATGCAAATGTAAACACTCAGGATACTCACAAGAAAGCAGCAGGCTGGGCGGGGGACGGATGGCACAGCATAGGGTTGCCAACCCTCTAGGATTGGCCTGGAGTCTCCATGAATTAAATAAAGATTAATCTTCAAATAAAGATTATGTGATGTGATTAAATCTCCAGGAATACGGCCAACCAAAATTGGCTACCCTACACAGCAAGCATACCTGCATCCATGGTCTCAACAAACTCAGTCCCCGTTGTTGTGTCTTCATTGGAGGGAAAAAAAGGTGTCCTTAAGTGAAGTCAGCTAACAGGAGGGACACTCTAGTGAAAACAAGTTTTTTGCTTTTACACAATGTATCAGGTCACTGTAAAGACTAGGCTTCCCTGTGGTCTTTAACTTTGCCTGCTTACTTGTGTGAAAACTACAAACTACCTCGACTTTAACCTCAAGTTAGCCAGCTCAACTTACACACACCCTTTTTTCTCCCTAATGAAGACGATGCCCCTGTGGGCTAGTTGGTTGGATAGCTCTGCTAGGTCCTGATGCAGTGCACATGGGAGTCAGTAGAAAGACTCCCACTGATTTCAGTGGACTTTGGATCAGGTCCTTAGAGACCAAGTGTTTTAAGTGCTGCAGTTCTTGATTTGGAAGGCTGGTGTAGTATTTTCAGTATCAAGAGGACATGTGGTCCAGTCAACCTCAATATGGATTCTTTAAACTAATGTGTGAATCATAGCACTTGTTTGTGCCGGGATAGTATAAACAAGGCTACGATTTAGTCTCGGATATTTTTAGTAAAATTCATGGACAGGTCACGGCCAATAAACAAAAATTCACACCTGTGACCTGTCCATGACTTGTACTGTAAATATCCCTGACTAACTCTGAAGTGCTCTAGGGGGAGCTCCAGGGTGCTGCAGGTGCTGTGGGGGGTGTGCTCCAGCCGATGGTGCTGCTACTCAGGGAGTGCTGCCCCAGTATGCCACCACTGCTGCTCGGGGAGGCGGCTCAGGGCTGCAGTGCTGCTGCTCTGTGGGCGGAGTCTGGGACCCAGGCGCCGCCGCTGCGGCTCCGGGGGTAGGGGCGGCGGCGGCCTGGGGCCCCGCTGCTGCTCCAAGGCAGTGCCCAGGACCAGCTGCCTGGGGCCACCCAAGCAGCAGCCAATGCAGCTGGCCCCAGGGCCACCCCAACTGCTCAGGCGGCCCTCTGGTCAGCCGCACTATCCGCTGCAGAAGTCCCGGCGGTCCCAGAAACTCACAGAATCCATGACTTCTTGTGACCTCCATGAAAGACTCGCAGCCTTAAGTATAAACACTGTTTAAGATCCTGCCCTCAGACCTGCTTTGCCATGTACCTCTGTCCTAACAGGCAATACCCTCTGAAATGTCAGTGTTGGCCTTTCTTGATTAGATTGTGGCAAATCACGTGATGGCTTTGTAATACAAAATTGTCTGGTCTCTATTACTGTACATGGAGACCACTGATGTCTCACTTCAGCTGTTAACCAGTGTTTGAAAACAGATCTGCATATCTGAAATATTAGTGCAATGATTCACCACACTACCTAGCCCGAAATTAATTATATCAGTCACTACTCCGAACTTCAAATTCAGGGATTCAGCAACAAACTCTGATAGTCGAGACAATCTGAGTCCATGCCTTCCATTGCAAATCTACTGACAGACATGCAAAATATTTCTGCACAATTTCTGTATCTTTCACCATTCCTGTTGACGTTTTCCTAAGAGGCACCATTAGAGCAAGTGCTGGGTAAGTCTTTGAAGCAGGGAGAGAAGAAGGAATTTGAATTAAAGGGTTGGAAGGAGATCAGTCTTTTAAACAAACTGAAAGTTCTATTGTAACATTGTAGAAATAGAGTGGAAACATTTCCATTTGAGACTCTGTTCTTCAGGTGCAATCCCATCTTGTTCAGAACAATTTGGAAGCTCAAGTGATGACTAGTCAAGTTATGAGAAAAATGTCAAAATTACCGTAGTTTTAAGATTTCCAAGCAGTAGATACATCAAGGGAATACTACATTTGGGAATGCAAACAAATTAGCCACACAAAACAAATCCACTATTCTGTTTCTTATGAATGGAAACTAAGAATCCAGATTGTTAATCTCCCTGGCATCCTCCAGTCCTGTCACAGTAGGAGAGCACAGAGTCAATAAGATTGCCTCGCTTGTTTTGCGTAGTGTCATAATCTATATTATTTCCTTTCTTAGGGTTGCCATCAATCATCCATTTATGCCAACTGCTGTGCAATTGCTGTTTGTGGATGAGAATCTGCGTTCTTTGTATCCTCTCTCCTCAGACATTTAGATCATGACTGTGTTCTATTTCAAAGAATTCCTGACACTTAGACTATGTCTACACTTTGAGCTAGGGGTGTGATTCCCAGCTCAAGAAGACATACTTGGGCTAGCTCTGATAGAACTAGTGCACTAAAAATAGAATGTAGCCATGGCATCACAAACCATGGGAGGGGCTAGCAACTGGAGTATGTTGGACGGGTACATACTTGGGGTAGCCAGCCCATTCACCACTCAAGTATCCCATATACGTCAGTGGCTAGATTTTATTTTTAGTGCACTAGCTGGATGAGAGCTAGCACAAATGTGTCTTCTCACGCTGGGAATCACACCCCCAGCTCAAAGTGTAGATGGATCCTTAGTACTGGGGAATTGTGATCTAATATTTTTTTCTCATCCCTACTGGAAAAGATGAAAAGTTCCATTTTTTAATTATAGCTCTCATTGCTTAGAAGTGTCTCCATTTTGTAAAACATGGGCCAGACATCCTAGCAAAAGTACTTATGACTACATAAGGAGATGTCTCCTTTTTCCATTTTGTCTCCAGACTCAAGGCCTTATCCTAACAGGTGCTAAGCACCAAGACTGCCATTGTAGCTAACTGGAACTATGAGTGCTCTGCACCTTTTAGGATCAAACTCTAAGAAAAGATTGTGCATCTAAAGGTTGAACTTGTTTCCAGTTATTCTTAAATAAGCAGTGTAGACCCATGGGTAAGTGCACCAGGCCAGGAGACAGAGGACCTGGCTAGGAGACAGGACTTGAAGTCAGCCACTGAACATGTGACCTTGTGCAAGCCACTTCCCGTCTCTGTCTTAGTTTCCTCATCTGTAAAATGACTCTGATGTATGGTTTCCTTTGTGCAGTGTTTTGGTGAAAAGTGCTATATATGAGAGTATTTTATTATTTGCACAGAGGGAGCAAATTATTTATGGACCTGTTGCTTTTTTTCATGTAATATGGAAAAGAGAAGAAAAGAGAAATAATATCATCTTCCGAAAGTAAATATGCTGGTCATATTCTACAGAGAAGTAAAAATCTACCTGCCTAGAGATTTATACAGTGGTATTTGTCTGGATTTCCTGCAGAGTAAAGTGTATTTATATGTATTGTGAACTTACATGTAGCCTTTGTCGAAACCCTGTCAATTTTCTTTTCTTTGCACTTTATTGGGATTTTTTTGCTATTTTGATTTTCATCGTAGGTTTCTGAGGATGTATCGGAAGCTGATATAAGCAGTGAGGATCAACACCATAACATCAAGACAGACCTTGTTGAGGAAAAGCTTAAATCTGAGTTATTTGAACTAGCTGCTAAAATGAGTGACAAGGAAACCTCTTCTGGTGAAGAGCAGGAGTCCGTGCTTAGAACAGAATCGGAGACCCAGAAGGAAAGTTTGTCCTCAGAAGAAAATGGCAAAAACATTCAGGAGGAGTTGAAGAAGGTAAGTGAAAGGAGAAGGGGGATAATAGCTCAGAAACTAGAATCCGTAATGGGGAGGTTAGAAAGCTACCCTATTTATAGTGGAACCAGGGATAGAGTATATAACGTTCACTGGGAATGGCAAAGAGTTTAAACACAGTCACTTGATAAAAGTGAAGCCCAGTCCTGCAATCTTTGTGCAGTCAAAGCTCCCATTTCTATCAATGAGAGTTTTGCTTATAGAAAGCCTGCAAGATCAGGCCAAATGCATTTAATTTATGTTAAGTCCAATTCTCAGTTTGTGTAAATCAGTGTAGTTCCATTCACTCTAATGAAATTACACTGATGTGCCCCAGCAGAGGATCTAACCCTTTGTTTTTACCGGAACACATATCGGCATCCATTTTTTCACCTCTGCTCATTAAGTGGTCAATGAAAATCTTTTCAGCCTTTACCTGCTCTCCTTTATGCAGTATTGTTTAATTGGCACTGATGCCATAGGGTCTCTCGTTGCCTCTCTATCTGTGTAGGTTGTCTTTATGCTTTCCAGACCTGTTATCATGTCTATTGATTCTGTTTTCTATCTGATAATAAGATCCCATATACATCAAAATGTTATACAGAATCTGAAATGCAGCGTCCCTCCTGACAGAACGTGTTTAATCCATTGTTTGTATGAAGTGTGCCGAAATCCAGAACCTAGAAGGGCATTTACCACCTGCTTTTTTGTCTTTCTTTATTTGAATGTCTTTTCATGTGGTATTATACCAATGCACCTGAATACACCGGTGCTCTCTTTGCCTTGTAATGTACTTCCCTCTATTTTGATGAAATCCAGCTTTTCAAACTTATAAACTGGGCTCCTGTAGCCCCAGTTCCTCATGAAATGTGCATGTGGTTTAGCTGATGACCAAGATGATAGTATATGAGTGACACTTCCCGGGGTAGTGAGGTACCTCACTACTACCTGCACTTAGTGTGAGGAAGCCTTGTCTGTTCTTGCTGGGGGTCAGCTCTCGAACCCCAACAGCCATGGGCAACAAAAGCACTCCCCTGCTCTCTCTCTCTCTACTCCAGATTAGTGATAGGCACACTCCAGTCCTTGAGCCCTCTGAGCCATTCCTCTGAAGTAACCAGCCACTGATCCGCTAGACACAGAATTCACAGATCTGCTGCTCCCGAAGAAGTATACATCATCTTACCATTTTCCCTTCAGTCCCATTTAACACACAGGACTTACGTACTTGAAAACAAGTAAAAGTTTATTTAACAAAGTACAGAGATTTGAGAAGTAGAAATAGGAAGTTAAAATATTTGAAACAAATGGTTACATGTAAAATAAAATCATAACATGTCTTCTACAGACTAGACTTACTTAATAAGATTTTGTCTTGTCCAATGGAATTTAATTCACCCAACCTCTTTGCAGCGATTTCCAGCCAGGATGGCTATGACCCTCCTTTCATAATACAAAATGCACTGACACTTTGTCTCCTCAGTGAAAGAGAGATCCCCAGTGTATACCACCAAAAAATCTGCAGTGTACACCACAAAAATCCATTGTCTTTACTGGCAAACGACACTCCTGCTCTGCTGTTTTTGTTTGTTCCTGCAGATCTTTTCTTCTGCGAATTCACAATTTCTTCATTTCGGTTCAGTAATGCAATGAGCTTGAATTGTGAGACACAGGGATACGCACTGACCAGCCAGGGAGAAAAGTGTCCCCCTGCCTGACCTGTCTTAACGTACACACTTTAAGGACATAATTCTCAGTATAGATATCTAATTCCTTAAATAGCCACCTATCCGTCCATTTTGCAATGATTTTGATGATCAGTAAGATACTGGCTCTCACTAGATTACCTGCCACCCTTTGACAAACGGTTACTTGGATAGCAGACCTAGGGATCTCTGTAAACCCTATGTACTCCTTATGCCCAGCGCCAGTTGGCACCAAGTGGTCCCTGGGTTACAGTGTGTGAGCAACATATTTAAGCTACAGTACCTTTCAGCAAAAGTCAAGTGATGAAAAATGCTGATAGTCTAGGATAAGTTTGTAATGCCACTCAAATGATGCAGTGTATGGCCCACACCTGAGGCTTCTGTTTCCTGTGAAATTCACCCAGCTCCTTCCTACTCAGGGTCTGACCGCTCAAAATGAGTGACAATTCCACATATATCTTTCATTTATTAGGAACTGTGTGTTCTGTGCTTCACAGCCCATTACTTTATGGACCTTTTGAGAAGAAACTGAAGTTGTTTTAGAAACGTGGGCATCATATAGTGAAGAAGGGGAACTAATGATTTGTAGGCTTATTTTTTAATTGGCTGTAGTTAACATAGTTACATTGCAAAAAGCAATTTTGTGACAATGCGAACCTCGGAATTATTCTTTGCTGTTTGTGCTCGAGATGTTACCTCTGTAGTTTTGGGGGTGTACTTTTCTTCTGTGAATAAGTTTATAGACCTCTAAAGCCACAGGAATGCCTGGTTTTCCTTCTAACTTTAACCCTGAATAGATACTGGATTATTCATTATTATTATTTTGGCATTTTAAATTTTAAAAAAAATTGTTTAAAAAAAACTCCAAAGAATTTTATGATTTTCTGTAATGCTATCTTATCAGGAAGAGAGAAACTTTACAAATGAACAAAAAGTGAATGTCCAGCATCCCTGGCTAAGTGTTTTTTCTGCTTTTAAAAGAAAGTAAGGTCCTCCGGAGTTAGTCATCCAAGCCTGTTGTATACGTTCTTTTGTCTGTAATAAAGAAGTCAAGATTTCCCAACACTATTCACAGTCATGGCCTCAGAGGAATTTATGGCGGAACTTGCTAAAGCCTCACGATATAGAAAAATGTTAGCTGACTTCATTCCTATTCTTGGCGAGTATTTCATAGATGTTATTTAATCTCTCTTTCAACGGGCTATCTACTCAGTAAGGTGGCTGACCAACATGTTGCAATGAAATACTGAAACTGAGAAGATAGGATACAAATTCAGTATCTCAGTAACCCCAAGATGAAAAGTAATCTAAATTCATACAGCATATGTGATAGATAAATTGTATAACGGATACCTAAGTAGATGAAGATCCCCAATGGGAATAAACACAAAAAACAAGATTTTTAAAAATGTGAAAGAAATTTTGGTGCCTCAAATTTTAGGTATTCCAACTTGAGACACCTTAAAGGGGTCTGATTTTCAGAGGGTGAATGTTCAGCCCTGTCTGAAAATCAAGCTGTTTTTAAGGGGTCTGAAGTTGAGCCCCCAGAATAATTAGCCAGTTTTGAAAATCTGAACCTGAGATCCCAGATGTCAAAAGTGGGTGCCCCAATTTCGTATTCGGGTACTGAAAGTGGCACCTACTCTACGTGTCTAAAGCAGGTGATGGGGTGATTGATGGCTGGTTGCAGCTCCTGAATGTAGAATTATGCACCCGATTTTAAGCATCCTTACTTGAAAATTGGGCTGTATGTGAGATATTTAATTTATGAAAGACAAGGCAGGAGGGGGATAGCTGTATATGCTAATAACATCCTCAATATTGCCAAACCTAAACATTCAGGCGCCAAAAAATTATGAGATTGGCTTAAAATCACAGGATTATTAAAAAGAATAAATGTTGGGATTCTGTTTGTTTGCTTTCTGGTTTTTGAGCCTTTTGGGTTCATATTTTCAAGCTTTTTTCTGCAACCATAAGAGCTACCACCTTTTAAAAAAAAAAAAAACAGAAGTTGGGAATCTCGCATAATCCCATGATTGCATGAGCTGATGCTTTAAGAAAAACACATTGGATCAAGAGACTGGCAATATAATTGTGAGAATTGGCAACACTGAGTCTTCAAGCTACTGAAATGTTGCTGTTGGCTTCAATGGATCTTGGTGAGTGCTCAGCACTTCAGAAACCAGGTCATTTACATTTGGATGTTTAAATATGGGTTTTAGGAGCCTAACTTTAGGACACAAGTTTGAAAATATTGGCCTTGAACATTTTACTTGATATATGTGGTATTCCTGAAGATTTATTCTCATACACAAACATTCTTAGAGCCCATTGCATAAATTCTGTTTTAATGAGACCCGACATGCATTTCTCTTTCTAATTAGTTTGTCGGGAAATTAACCTGGATTTACTCTTTATATCTTACTTTTTTCCTTCTTTATCTCTAAAAACTTAGGAAAATATTTCAATACCAAACAAACAAACAAAATATTGAAACCATTTTGTGGAAGTCTTCATGATATGATGCTGGGAGTAACATTTGTGATAAGATGTGAATTTTAGCTCTCTTGTTTTGCATATTCATGAGTAGTAATATTCCAGGTTTATTATATGCCCTTGACAACAATTTCCTCAGCATCACAGTAGCCCTGAAATTTGGTATGTGCTCTGCCCCACTAATCAGAAGAGCTATATTTTACAGAGGCATGTCATATATTATAAAAAAAAACTTTCTTGGCCTGGTTACAGATCATCATTATATCATTAAAACCAAAAATTTAAAAAAAAAAATTAAGTCATTTAAGTCTGTCTATTTTTTGTTTACTTCTTATATTTCTTTTTGCTTAGGCCATAAAAATAGACTAACTAATTTCACTTTTGCAGCCAGTTTAATTTTCCCTGCTTGTGCTTCAATGTTTGGATTGCAGTCTAAAGCCTTAGTTCAGCAATGTGCTTAAACTCTTGAAAAAGTCCATCCCTGTTCAGGAAAGCACATAAGCAAACGCTTATTAACTTCAAGCCTGAGCTTTGTCTTCAATCTTTTGGGCTGTGGTCATAAGTGCTTTCCTGAACAGACATGATTTCCTGAGTCGGAACCTGAAAGTCGATTTGCTTAAAAATAAATACTTCCCTAGATTGTGAGCTGCCTGGGACAGTGATTCTCTTTCTTCCCCACTCATTTGTACAGCACAAAGCACAGTGGATCTCTGTTTGGAGCCTCTATAGAGTCTCACAATATAACTAACAATCATAAAAATTCTTTTTCCATTAAAATATTCCTTTTTAAAATTCATGGAAACCTTTCTACTTATCTTAGATTTTATACATTTAAAAGGTTACATTCTGGGGCAAGTGTGACCTGCCAGTGTCCTCTTAATTCAGATTGTATACATCAGGATTAGGTACCCACATGAAATAAAGAATATCTCTCTCATAGTGACTGGTATGCAAACATGTCAATTTGCATTTTGAAAAACAGCATTACTTGATCCTCTACTATGAAGTGACCACTATGCCCATGAGATCCTACTTCCATGAACAACCAACATCATAAACAATTGTAGGAAAAATGCATTCAAATATTTTCGTAATGTGGCAAAAATCCTAGGGGACTGCACCTGGGTTATTGTCCCTGTCCATCAGCAAGGAGAGGAGAAAATTAACCAACTCTCTAGAACGGGGAGAGAAGTTGGGATGATCCCTGGCTGGATAATTTAGTCGGCCCTGCTTTGAGCAGGGAGATCAACTAGATGACCTCCTGAGATCCCTTCCAACCCTGATATTCTGTGATTCTATGATAAGCCCTGACACCTCCAAAGGCTGTGGAAAGATGTCAGTCATAGAGGGAGGAGATGACAGCTGGAGTTCATTAAGGGAAGTTGTGAAAACAAAAGTGTGGGCCATGAATGTTGCAACCAGGGGAAAACTCATTCCCAGCCTGGACTTTGTCTGAAAAGGAGCTGCTGTTTCCAGGGTCCAGCTGTGGCAAAGGACAGCCTTTATACTCATGAATGGGAGTAACCTGGTAGCTACAGTCTCTTATAAAGAAAACATTAAGATACCCCAGTAAGACTCAGGACTTATCTGCACATGAAAGTTAACCTGGAATAAGATAGGATGTGAATTTAAAGTGGATTATCTATTCCTGATTAACTCTGTGTGTGGACACTCTTATTCCAGAAAAAGAGTACCTTATTCCAAATGAGCTTAATCCTTTTACAAAAGAATTAATAGAAAACTGCACTCTAAGTGCAGATATCCATGAGCTTTATAAATATCTGAATGACAGCTGCTCTACCTAAAACTGAGGGCTTGTCTACACGGGAAAATTCACCAACATATATTCCAGAACAAGAGCATCAGCATGGGGAGTTATATCAGTATTGCAATAGCAATATAACTATATGGGTATAATTATGCCAGTAAATGTCCCTGTGTAGACAAGCCCTAAGAGATGTTTTTCTTATTAAATATTTTACACTTATGTGTGATACACACAGAATAATTCTTGCATTTCAGTACATCATGATTTATTATATTATTATTATTATATTAATAATTTAGACAATTTTATTTTATCCTAAAGCACTTCACAAATTGTATGCGTACAGCATCATCGATATGGAGCCATCTCGGGGGTGGAGAATGACAACCAACTCACGCACACCATACTGAACGACAGTGTGGGGTGAAATATTTTGGCTAAGGATGCCAGGATAAACACCTAATTTCCCCCAATTTTGAATGCCCAAACTGAGACACCTCTTGGGTTTGACTGTTGAGGTGCTGAGCACTTGAGATGCTGAACACTGACTTCATTTGGCATTGTGGTTGTCCAGCACCTTTGAGAGTTAGATCCAAGTCATGTCAAATAGGATACCCAAAATCCACGGTCACTTCTGAACATTTATTCTGAAGTAATCCCCCACAGCACATTAGGAACATGAATTTTTAGAGAGTTTCCAATACAAAAGGTTCACCTTCTTCAGAAGGAAATTTAGAAGTCCTTTTATTCAGGTACTAGCACCGGCTACACATAAGAAATGTACCGCGTAATAAAAGAAAAATAAAATAAAACTCCAGGAGACCTTGACTTACCAAAAAAAAAAATAGTCTTTGCATCTTGAATTTATTTCATCAGCATCTGATAGAACTTGACAATGACATAAGAAAGTGAGATATTAACGTTGTTGACACTGGACTCACATGCAGTATTTGTTGCATAGTTGATTGTTGCCAAAAGAAGCACAGAAATCTGTTTTCAGAGAGTTGTCATGTGGGTCCAAAAGCTATGAATGCAAGTTTCTTGTTTCTCAACATTACTACAGAAGTCATCTTCCTGGAGCCACTTTCTTTAGTGATGATACAAATCATCATTTCATGTTTATTTCATATTATCAAAAATGTATCATGAGAATCCAGATATTTTGTAACATAGCTGACTTTAATGAGCTATGCTATCCTGAATCTTGCAAATAAAAAGAAATAGTGCTGTATTTCATATATTTTAGTTACACATGTAAAATATAATGGTTTATTGTATTTTATATTCCTTTGCATCTTATCCCTTACCTTAATTCCATAGTTCTCTACAAGCAAGTTGTCTTAACCTGTTTAGGAATTAACATATATTTTCTGCCTTTCTATTTAATTGCTGACCAACTACCTAGGAAAAACAAAAGGCTTTTGATCTCCATTTAAAACTGCAGGTTTTATCCTCAGTATTACAGCAGGTGAGAGTGTTTTATTTTTTGTCCATATTTTTCTTATTTAGTAAAAGGGATCTAAAAATGATATTGAGGGTTTCCATATTTCCAGAGCAAATTTTTTCTCTTTACACGTCAAGATAATTTTTCTGGCTATCAGCTGTGAAAAAATATAGATCTGAAAAATCAAGCTTGTTTGTCTGGCTCATGCCTCGTCACTGGTAGGAAAGAAAAGATGATGCAATCAGAACTTAGCAGACAATTTGTTGATGCTCCATGAAGCGGAAGAGTAGTCATCTTGCTCTTAGCTGTATCAGGAGGAAGAACTTGTTTTATCAGTAAAGTAAGAAGAAGCAGAGGGCAGATATGTACAGTAGGAACCTCAGAGTTACGAACACCTCGGGAATGGAGGTTGTTCGTAACTCTGAAATGTTTGAAACTCTGAACAAAACAGTATTGTTCCTTCAAAAATTTACAACTTAACGTTCACTTAATAAAGCTTTGAAACTTTGCTATGCAGAAGAAAAATGCTGTTTTAACCATCTTAATTTAAATGAAACAAGTACAGAAACAGTTTCCTTATTCTATCAAATCTTTTTTTAAACTTTCCCTTTATTATTTTAGTTGTTTATGCCTGATTTTTCACGGCTGCTACTGTGAAACCTGTCTTAATAAAACTTGATGATCTAAAATCACCGGCATATAATATATAGCTAAACAAACTAATTTCATTGTGTTCCACAAAATAGACATGAAGCAGAGATCCATTTTTTGAATGAAAGCTTGATCCTTGATTCAATAAAATTAACCCCTCAGCCTTCTCTTTTCATCCTGTTTTATACACTTATTTTGTTAATCCATGCGAACTACCATTTTTCTGGCTTCCTTTAGTAAAAATCACAGATGTTTCTTATCGTTTCATTCCATATATTCAATATTTATAATTTTGTGCTCATTTTTAGATAGCTATGGAATTTTGTCTGCCTTATATTTTATGAGATTTTAAAAATATTGTATTTACAATTTGGGGCAGAATATTTAATTTGGAGAAAATAACTTTCCTCCTTATTTTGTGGCAAGTTGATTTCCAGAAACAAAGTGTTAGAACTAATTAATAGTAACTTCAGTGTTTATATTGGGAAAGTGATTTAATTTCATTACAAAAAAATAATGTCTAATACAGAGAAGTATCAGCACAGTTCAAAAGGAAGACTAAAGTTTCTCTAACTTAACTGTATATTGGAGGATATCAGTGGAATAGAACATTATCAAAGCTAATTCTGTCTTCTGCTGCTAAATGAGCATTCAGCTTTCCTTGGGGAAGAAATTACTGATGCTAAAACAAAGCCAGAATTCTCACACTTTGGTGGCAATGCATCCCTTTAACAGCACAGGCTACCGTGAGCACATTACACCTGTCCTCTGCACTCCACATTGGCTTCCCATAGAATATTCAGTCAAATTCAAGATTTCTGTGTTTCTCTTCATGGCACAAAATCATCTGGGCCCAGGATACCTAAAAGATCACCTGAAGCTCCAGATGAGGACTATGGTGAACAACTCTGTTCCTCAAACACAGTGGAGCTGTCCACCACAAAGGCAAAGCTCGTCTGTGCAGGAGATAGAGCTTTCTTGGGGATCTGGTCAGGCTGTGGAATGAGCTCCACACATCTTTGTGTAAAACCTGGAGTGAATCTTATTGCTCTCAGCAGGTGACTCAGGTATATGGAAAATAGATCCTGTCAAACTAACTTGATATCTTTTTTTAGTGAGATTACAAATTTGGTTGATAAAGGCAGTAGTGTTGATGAAGTGTACTTTGACTTGGTACCACACAACATTTTGATTAAAAAACTAGAATGATATAAAATTAAAATGGCACATGTTAAATGGATTAAAAACGGGTAAGCTGATAGGTCTCCAAATGTAATTGTAAATGCAGAATCATCATTGAGCAAGTGTGTTTCTAGTGGGGGCCTGCAAGAATTGGCCCTGTGCTGTTTTAACATTTTTCCAGTGATCTGGAAGAAACATAGAATCATAACAGATAAAGTTTACAGATGACACAAAAATTGCAGGAATGGTAAATAATGAGGAGGACAGGTCACTGACAAGGAGCAATTTGGATTGCATGGTAAGCTGGGAACAAGCAAACAATGTGTTTTAGTACAACTAAATGTAAATGTATACCTCTAAGAACAAGGAATGCAGGCCATACTTACAGGATGGGGGACTCTATCCTGGGAAGCAGTGACTCTGAAAAAGATTTGGGGGTCATAGTAGATAATCAGCTGAATATGAGCTGCCAGTGTGACTCCATGGCCAAAAGGGCAGGGGAATTTTGAATATGAGTAGAGAGGTTATTTTATCTCTGTATTTGGCACTGGTGTGATCACTGCTGGAATATTGTGTCCAGTTCTGTTGCCCACAATTCAAGAAGGATGTTGATAAATTGAAGTGGGTTCAGAGAAGAGCCACAAGAATTATTAACGGATTAGAAAACCTGCCTTATAGCTATAGACTCCAGGAGCTCAATCTGTTTCGCTTAACAAAGAGAAGGCTATGAGGTGATTATCAGAGTGTATAAGTATCTACGTAGGGAACAAATATTTGCTAGTGGGCTCTTCGGTCTATCAGAGAACACTATAATGTGATCAATGTCTGGAATTTGAAGGTAGAAAAATTCAGACAGGAAATAAGGTTAAAGGTAAGTGCAATTAACGATTAGAATCAGTGGTGGATTATCATTCAGTGGCAATTTTAAAATCAAGATTGCATGTTTTTCAAAAGATCTGTTCTAGGAATTATTTTGAGGAAGTTCTGTGGCCTGTGTTATATATAAGGTCTAACTAGATGATCACTCTGGTCCCTTCTGGCTTTGGAATCTATGACCCCATGTAACTCTAGCATCCTTATGACCAAGATGAAGTCCACTCTGCTGGCAGCTCCAGCCAAGAAGAGGCACATGCAGGAGTGCAACAGAGAAACTCCCTTTTACCCCAGAAGCACCTGTTCCAAACCCCCGGGGGTAAGCACGTTGGATCAGTACAATGAATATAGGAAAGGGAAATATGAACAGGGAAAGAAGATAGGGGGAGCAATAAAACAGGGTTGCATCCAACACAAGGACTCACGTTCCCGGTTGTGCCACAATATACAAGGGTAGATGCCAAGCAATGCGTCTAGACCCAGAGTTCCGGAGTCCTGGGCAGAGTTCCAGTCTGGCAGTGAGTCTTGGGTGCTCCTGGTCATCTTCAGCGCCAGTAAACTTTCCCCAACTAACCCCCCCGGTTCCCTCTTCTGCCATTTGCTGCAAACCTACACAGAGAGACAACCTCTTCACTCAACCTCCCTCCATATTCCCATTGCAAAGCTACAACCTTCCTCCATATTCCCATTGCAAAGTCACGAGCCTCGGTACTCATCCATACAGCTCTGGGTGACAGTGTTACTGGATCTGGCTCCACTTTGTCCTTCTCTGGTGATTCCTCCCTGGCCCGGTGCTCTTCCTGGCTCCTGTCCTGGGATGTCCCTGGTTGGCTGCTCTGTCCCTCCACTGCTTTGTGCTAGTTCTCAGCTACTTCCCTGTGTGAGGGCCTGCTCCCTGTAGGCCCTTTTGTCTGGAATTTCAGACACACACATCCTGTTGCTCTCCCTTTCCCTATTCTCTTCCCCCTGGAAAAAACAGCACTTCCCCTACCTCAGGACAAGGTTTTAAAGGGGCCATGCTCTCTAAATCCCAAGGAGATTACACACCCTATGAAATAATTTTTGGAGAAGGAAAAGTTTTAAGACAACAGATATTCATCAAAGAACAGCCACACTGCAGAGAGCGTGATGAAGCAACTCGAGAATGAAGCTGGTAATGTTTGCGCTAACAGTGATGAAGAATCTGATCAATACTGTCAGGGCCATTAGTGATGGAAACTTTCTTTCTTTGTCCCTTTCTTGAGCATAATGTTGATGTGAAATTTCCTCAGTTGTATCGCAAATCACAGTGGTGATGTTGGTTGAAGGAGAGATGTTTGTATTGGAGGCTGAAGATTGGGCCCTCACCTCTGACAGTGACAGTATGGTAGCAAAGTGAACAAATACTAGCAGCTGGGTCAAAATATAAGAAAAACAAGGGCAAAAGATTAGTGCAAAAAATGCACAGCACTTTAAGAGCCACCAATCATAATGTACATAAGTACATGGAGACGTCCTGAATGTATGTAAGTTCTGGATGAGAAAATCTGACACAGCTGGTACACAGCTGGAACATAAGTGAGGATTTGCGTGCTTGCTGGCTCACAGCTGTCTGGATCGTGGCACCATTTTGGTTTTGTCCTAATTTTTTGTCCTAATGATACATTTGTGGTGGTACTGCTGGTTTGTTTCCATTATTTATTAGCTTTTACCCAGGAAGCCAATGCTGTGCTATAGAATTTCACAGTGTGGCACTTCTGAAAAGAAAGATCAAGATAGTATGTTTTGAAAGCATTCTAACTGTCCCGTTAGTTGGGGGAGGGAGAGGAGAGAAAGCAAAGGGAAAGCCTCTTCCAACATAAACTGTCTTGTAAATTGGAAGCAATCCACAGTGCAGGGGGGAGAAGGGACAGAAAAAGGGGAGGCGATATAATCTGGAGAATTGTTCACTGTAGATGAGGCAAGACTGACAATGTCGTCTTGAGGCAGGACTGACAATGATATCCTATCTTCTCTGCTGTCATATCCTAGTGAGGAGCAGTTTACTGATGATTATGATGGTAGCTCTGTAGAGGAGACAGCAAAAAATGTAAAAGATCACCACATAGATCTTTGACACTAGCCAAACAGACTGAAACCTGAAACAGCATGGAACTTTGTGGCAGATGAAAGCTGAGCGAACTCATTGGCTAGACACAAATTGGAAGATCCAGGCAATAATTTTCATCCCCCTCTGGGGTTTTAAAAATCTGGCTTGCTAAAGAGTTTGCAAACTGCGGTCAGGAAAATTGAGCTTCCTTTCCACAGACCCAGGAGTCATGTGGTAAATGACCAAAGTT